CATCATTACATATTCTTAAAGAATCATTAAAGCCATTTTGGTTGTTTCAATATCTTAAGCACGCTTAGACACTGCAGCAAAAATTATTACAAAATTATTCTCTACCATTTATTGTGTAAAATCACTAAAATAATAAGTTTTTACAATAATATAAGTTACACATATTGTTTTGACATTTGTTACTTGGTAAAAAACCTAAAATTTATACAGATTAATAAATACAATTTTCAATAGCTAGATCAGGTTCTGACGTAGAATGTTCACTACCAATATAGCGTGTGCTATAAATCATTTTGATTATCTAATATGTCATATCTAAACGATTTAATGCAAACGCAATACTAGTAGGATTTTTAAAGAAATCACACAATGAGCCATTTTTGTTATTTCAATTGCTTACGCACGACTTGACTCTGAGGCAGAATGTTCTCTACCAATACACTGTATGTGAAAAAAACTATTGGATTATCTTAATATTTACATCTAAAAGTTTTTCACAGACAGCATACGAATAGGATTTTTGTAGTCGATTTTCGATAATGCGAATATTTACTTGTTCTTTTTCTATTGCTCACATACTTTTTTACCGCCGAATATTCTCTACCAATACAGCGTTTACGAGAAACGTTAGGATATTATTATATGTCTTACCTAAATGTTTCTTGCACACGCTATAATAGTAGGATTTTTTTTAAACTTCTCCTATAAATATTTTTTTGGCATCTCAACAATCTGAACAAAGAAATGAAACATTATAGGTACACACCAGACACGTGAATAATGTCTTTGGACAGTAACAAATTACACTATTACACATTTTTATAAACAAGTCTAAAAATATATTAAATCCAAAGTCAAGTAAGCACTACTTCTCACTTGTGGTTAAAATTGTTTTAGTTAATCTTTTATAAAAAATTATGTCCAATAACTACCTTTTTCAAACATCTTTCTCTATTTAGTATTATTCATTCTTCATGCACGTTTAGGCCCGAAGTAGAATGTTCTCTACCAATACAGTGTCTGCAAAAAATCCTTTGGATTTTTATCATGTCTTATCTAAATGTTTTTTGCAGACACTATACTAATAGGATTTTTCTTGTAGATGATAAGTCAAAAGCAAAAATACCTACTAAAAAAAGTAAACAAGGGACTCGATACCAATGAGCTTAGCATTTAAACATTGTTGGATAGTCCAAAAACACAAAAAACTGAAAAAAAGTTTTTATGTAACGTATAGGAAACTTAATTGGAATTTGAAGAAAGTAATTTTGAAATAACTTAAAAATATTTACTTTACATTGGTAATATAATGCGATAATTATTATTTTAAGTATAATAAAAACTTATATTTGTATTTTTTTCTTTGGTCAGAATACAATTTAAAACTTGTCATTTGTATTTGATAAACTATACATGTTAATACATTTAAAAATATTTATAGAACTATACTTTAAATCAGAAATTAAACATTTTTTTTAAGGTATGGTTCTTTATGAAGAATTTTAATATAAAAGAAATAAGTTATGTAGGTAGTTATATTACAATTATAATATTATTGAACACAACATTCTTGTTTTCACGCAATAGTATCCCAGTGAAGTAGAATATTGTCTACCAATATAGGGTCTGCAAAAAAACTTTTGGACTATTATCATGTTATTACTAAAAAAAATTTGCAGACCCTATACTAATAGGATTTTCGTTGTATAATTTTGCTGCGGTAATTTATGTGGCTTTTTAGTACACCGGACGAAATAATGTATTTATTCTGAACGGAACTAGCCCACAGTAAACAATATAATACATTTTACAATAGTAAATAGTAAAGACTTTTTACACATGTAAAAAATAGATAAAGTTAACAAGAGACTATAATCGACGGATAACAGGTAAAATGGGTTAAGTCATTTTTGACAAAAATGGGTATGTTATATTACAATAATTAATAATGTACACAACGTTCTTGTTTTAACCTATGCTAGTGCTATTGCACTAGTGTCTCACTAATGTAGAATATTCGTTACCAATACAGTGTCTGCAAAAAATCATTTAGATTATTATCATATCATATCTAAAAGTTTTTTGCAGATACTATACTAATAAGATTTTCCTTGTAGAATTTGCTGTGGTCATTAATTTGGCTTTATAGTACACTCGACGAAATAATGTACTTGTATTGTATTAATTTAATTACAGCATTAAGAGCAATTTGAGTTGTTGGCTACAAAAATAGGTATTAACCAGTAACAAAATAAGTTTCACAATTTCATTGAAACATTTAACGGTTTGTAAAAATTGTAAAGTATTTTTTTAATATTTGAAAGCAAATCCAAGTACACGGTGCAAACCCGGCGATAATAAATAAGCAAACATGCACATTCGTGTAAATCATGGCGTAGCTAATATAGTATTATATTATGTGCGTGCATTTAAAAAATAATAATAATCTAAAACTCACCTTAACGCGGCCCTTTTTTCACAGCATTCAAGACCAGACTTGGGCGGCAGTATTTCCAGGTCGTGGACGATGCACAAATGAACTCTGTGTACAATAAATGTATGTAGCTGAACCCTCTACCCTCGAACAGCTTCATTGATCGCCACCACCAGGGAGATTTATTATAATAGGTACATACCCACGAGGGGAGCAGCTGCTATTGCGCAGAACAGATCAGAACAAAGTACATTGACTCGCCGATTCCGTTTGCAATCTGGCCAAGGTTTACCGAAGAGTTTTAGGGGACGGTGTGACAGTAGAAAACAAATAGGATAATTTGGAGTTGTTTTTCTTTTGACAAAAAGTAATTATAAAAAATAAAATTAAACTTACATTAAAATATCGCAAAAGTTGCTTTCTAGATGACCTGTACAGTTTATGGAAAGTACTTATACCGAGAAATTCTTTAGAATAATTATTTAAGTCTTGTTCTATGCTTTCTCGTTTTTATTAAAAAGTGATGTGTTACCAGAGTCTCCGTTGTCACATTGGCTTAAATATAGATAGCGACCATGTAAAAAAAATCAGTAAAACTATGCCCCGACCCCACTGTACCAGTTTTTATTTTTTTGCAAAAACATTGTGGGCCAAATAGCCCATATACAGTGTCATGTATTTGTTAATTTAGTTAGAATGGTCAACGAATAATATTTCAATCGTTTGTACTCCATAGTTTAATTTATAATCGTTTATTCTCAATAAAATTAATATTTATGTATTATATACTTCTATTGGAGCAAGCTCTTACTAACTATTTATACTTCATAGACTATATTATACTTTCAAAGCTCTATTATACTTTTATTTTACTAGATTGACAATTTACAAAACTAATTTGGGTTTTTTTCACAAAGTAACAACCCGAATTTTTTTAAATCCACTGCTTTTAAATAATTTTCAACTTATAACACCATTTCGCTCGAATTCGGTTTTTTATGCGTGTTAGTGTGTAAGCTTTTTCTAAGAGCTTGGAAAATCGATAGTTATACTAGTAATAAATCGTAAGCCGACAAAACAGATATATAGTACTCGGATTTGTACACACAGATGTCATAATACGTTGTTTTCAACTGCTCTATCATTTGACTATTCGCAAAAACAAAATATAATATATTGCATAAGTCCCGTTTACAGAACACCTACAGAACACGACTACGTGTTTAACAGTTGGCCATTAGTATACGTTGTATTAGTATACGCCTTTTTTTTCTAAAACGAGTACTCTAGTAGGTTACCTATTATTTGAAAAATAAAAATGTATTCGAAAACTATGATACTGTTTTTCAGCTTGGCATTGTACTTATTGGAATGTCAGGGTAAACCGCCTACTTCAAAAAAACTTGTAAGTATATTGGACAATAAACATTTATGGTTAATAGAAAACGCTAAGATTTTACCGCCCCCGTTTTCGCATCGAATCGTCTTTTTACTGTTCACTTACTAACAATTATTCCTAATAATGATAATCCGCATAATATGACTGTCAGTTTATCGTTTTTATTTCGCTAATGAAGGCTAAGTTTTACAGGTAAATTATACTAATATACATTCTTATTTTGAAACAATAGGAAATAATAAGAAATATAGTCAGAGAAAATGTTGGCCAAGATGGCACAGGCTATGAAGGATTAAAAGATGTATTAATAAAAGTAGTCGCTAAAGGTAATATTCAATAGAGATAAATTCAATAAACATGTTGAATAAAATGTTCAAAAACGATTAAAGAGACACATTTTAAATATTCAAACGTATTATTTGTAAAACTGTAAATTATTTAATTTTTTTATATACTAAAAATCATAACTTTTTTTTACAAAGCAGATAAAAAATTGGAAAAAAACGGGAGAGTTTATAGTTATAGTTTATCTATATAGAATATAGGTATACAAATATAGATATGAGACATTTTTTTTTTAATGTAGAATTTAATACTACATCATTATTCTTAAATTACAATTATTTGAAATAAAAATCATTTACAAGGGTTACAAACTGTTATTTTCAATTTCTTAAAAGATTATAGAAAGAAAATAAATTTATTTTGTAATTTCAGAATATGTTGATAGTGTACTACAAGAATATAAATTGGAAGATGTTATAAACGCCGTCAAAGATATTGTAGACTCCAAAAGTTTGGAAAACGATTGTACGGTAGAAGATTGTACGGTAAATAAAAAACTATGATACTGTAGTATAGATAATTATTCTACTTGTGAGGTTGTTTGTGCTTCCCATCGGTAAAAACATTGTGATTTTCATAGTAATTGATTTAGAGAAGGACTTTTTTACGCATAAAAAAATACTAAATAACATAACCGTTTTTGGATGATTCCTTGCCGATTTTACCCCGGAAGGGAAGATCTTTAATTTTAAAAAAAACTATGATTAATAGAAAATATTAAGATTTTACCACCCCCATTTTCGCATTGGAGAGTCTTTTTTACTGTTCACTTAATAACAATTCTTAATAATAATAATAATAATAATCCACATAATATAACTTCCAGTTTATCGTTTTTATTTCGCCAATGAAGGCTCAGTTTTATAGGTAAATTATATTAATATACATTCTTATTTTGAAAACAATAGGAAAAACAAGTAAACATAGTCCGGAAAAATGTTGGCCAAGATGGCGAAGGCTATGAAGTATTAACAGAAAAAGTCGCTAAATTAAAATTATCTATAGAGTTCCCTGGCAAGGATGAGTTGCTGTTGGAATCAAAAGGTAATATTCAATAAACATGTTGAGTACAATGTTCATAAACTATCGAAAAGTCATTTTTTAAATATTCAAACGTATTATTTGTAAAACTGTAAGTTATTTGATTTTTTTTACTAAATCATAACTCTTCTTTAAAAACCGTATAAAAAATTGAAAAAACGGAAGAGTATTTTTGATGGTGTACAAAACAATTACCAAAATATAAAGTACATGATCATTTTCTTACATTTTTAGTCTCATGTAGTTCATGTATTAAAAATGTAGAATTTAATATTACATCATTATTCTTAAATTACAATTATTTGAAATAAAAATCATTTACAAGGACAACAAACTGTTATTTTCAATTTCTTTAAAGGTTATTGAAAAAAAAATTATATATTGTAATTTCAGAATATGTTGATAGTTTACTCCATGAATACACAATGGAAGAAGTTATAAGCGTCGTCAAAGATTTTGTAGACTCCGAAAGTTTGGCATACAATGGTACCGTACAAGATTGCGTGGTACAAAAAAAACTATGATACTATACTAATATAAAAGACTTGTGTGATTGTTTGTGCTTCCCATCGGTAAAAACATTGTAATATTCATAGTAGTCGATTTAGAGAATGACTTTTTTAAACATAAAAAAAAAAAAAATAACAGAACCGTTTTTGGATGATTCCTTGCCGATATTACCCCAGAAGGAAAAAACTTAAATAAAAAAAAATGTAATATTTCCTAATAAGCAGTTTACAAATTAGCATCAACGGGTCTATTTAAAAGTGAATGTATCCGAGTAAGCCAATACAGTGGGGTCAAGGCATAACGGATCAAAGCATAGTGTGACCGTTTACACTCTGCAGGAATAATTATAAATAAAAATGTTAAAATCACTTTCAAACAAACGCTTTAGTACTAATTTTTAAACTGTTTACACTGTGCTTGGTTTGGACTTGGACGTGACGTGGAAATACTGATTCGCATCGAGGCGTTTATTTGAAAGTGATTTTATCACTTTCAGCTATAATAATTTCTGTACACCCTGTGACCTCCTCGTCCCACTTTGCCCTGACCCCACAGTATTGACTTTTTTATTGTTAAAATTTAAAAAAAATACAAATGATCCTTTACAAATAAAAGCAAAAAAAAAAAATAACCTAATGGGGTATTATATTTACACGCGTTGCGGTTACTCCCATTTGGATATCTTGACTGGTTCGCCAACGTTTCAAAACACTTCCATGTTCCTTCTTCAGGGCTCAGTAAATATTATAAATAGTTTTTGAGTTTTTTATATTTTTATATGTTTTTTAAAACTTTAATCCCCCCCCCCCCCAGATACCAACTAGATGATATTTATAGACTCCGAAAGTTTGGCATACAATGGTACCGTACAAGATTGCGTGGTAAAAAAAAACTATGATACTATATTAATATAAAAGACTTGTGTGATTGTTTTTGCTTCCCATCTGTAAAAACATTGTGATATTCATAGTAGTCGATTTAGTGAATGACTTTTTTACACATAAAAAAATACTAAATAACAGAACCGTTTTTGGATGATTCCTTGCCGATATTACCCCAGAAGGAAAAAACTTAAATAAAAAAAATTTAATATTTCCTAATAAGCAGTTTAGAAATTAGCATCAACGGGTCTATTTAAAAGTGAATGTATCCGAGTAAGCCAATACAGTGGGGTTGAGGCATAACGGATCAAAGCATAGTGTGACCGTCTTCACTCTACAGTCTACAGGAATAATTATAAATAAAAATGTTAAAATCACTTTCAAACAAACGCTTTGGTGCTAATTTGTAAACTGTTTACACTGTGCTTGGTTTGGACTTTACTGGCGTGGAAATACTGATTCGCATCGAGACGTTTATTTGAATGTGATTTTATCACTTTTAATTGTAAAAATTCCTGTACACCCTGTGACCTCCTCGTCCCACTATGCCCTGACCCCACACTATTAGCTTTTTTATTGTTAAAATTTAAAAAAAATGCAAATGATCCTTTACAAATAAAAGCAAAAAAAAAAACTAGTTGAATGGGGTATTGTATTTACACTCGTTGCGGTTACTCCCATTTCGATATCTTGACTAGTTCGCCAACGTTTCAAAACACTTCCATGTTCCTTCTTCAGGGCTCAGTAAATGTTATAAATAGTTTTTGAGTTTTTTATATTTTTATATGTTTTTTAAAACTTTAATCCCCCCCCCCCCCAGATACCAACTAGATGATATTTATAGAGTTGCTTTAAAAATCCCCCATCATTGTAAAACCAATAGCATCGAAGCTAAACACTATTGATCCTAATATGACAAAAAAACTCTTTAACTACTACAAAACTGATGTTATAATGATGAAACAATCACAACAAGTCGTTTATGTCTCGTGGTTTTGCAAAAGAACTATTAGTTTTATCTGTAAAATTGAATATATATTTGAATGTTTTCTTATTGTTCTGTAAACAATAGAGAAGGGCAACATACAGGTTCGGGTCACTTAAGGGTTTTATACGTTGGCCCGATTCGTTTGTTTAAAAATTGTTTAATATTTTGTATTTTCAGACCGCGCACACTATACTGTGGATCAAGTTGAAAACATAGTTATTAAAAAACTATTTTCGATTTAAGGGTTGGATTATATTTTTAACTGTTTTTAAATTAGTGCATGTCACATACGATTAATTTAGTATTGTTTGATTATCTAATTATTTTGATCTTGTATTTCGTTAGTGCACTGTTTAATATATTTATAAGTACTACAGAATTATAAAAAAAAATTTAAAAAAAAATTAAGACATTATTTTTTTTTGACATTGTCCATGGATATGTCTTACGGCTGTAGGTCATTCTGAAAACAGTACTGATATCATTGTGGATTATGGACGGACTATGGAGGAGTATTAAGGAGGTGAATTAATAGAGATAGTGGATTAAAAATACTAGATTGCATATTCAAGTAATCATGTGTCCGCATGAAATATGGATACTCTTAACTCTGAATTTACTCAGTTTGTATATGAAACTGACTTATTATTGTATATTATGTTTTTTTTTTTTTCCATAGGTCAGTAATATCCTCTTATAGGTACAAAAAATATTTGGCTCGACAATTAAACAGTACTAAAGAGTAAAATAAGTAGGGTTACATTATTAATAATTACATGATTTTAAATGATAAATATAAAATGATAGAGAAAAACAAAAAAACAACCAGAGAGTGTGTAAGACTAAAAGAAATTAATATAAACATTAATTCAGCTGAAAAACCAGAGCTCTTTATAAAGGAAAGAATTGCAAGAATGACAGGAACGGGACGGTTGGATATGATTCTTTTTGGTTACTTTTAAACGGATTTTTATATAATTTATTATATCTCTAAAATTAATTAATACAAAAATAAAAATCTAAATCTAATAAGTGCATATAACTACAACTAATAAAACTTGATACTTGATAACAGATTTCTTCTGATAACAAAAGTAGGTTTTGGAATTTATTAATATAATAATAACGATTAACAATGAAAAATCGTTCATTGGATATATTGAATATTTAACTAAACAAAGTAACTATAAACTTGAACCATTAAGATAGATTTATACAACACAGATGTCTAACGATATAAACGATAAGACAAAACTTACAACACACTGTTCGTTTATTTTTCATTAATATTTTGTAATGAAGTGCTCGCTTTTCATTGCGACTGTACACCAATCGAATGCCTGACGACTGCGATCCTTGGGTTAATAATAGTTGGCTCGATAGTGCCCCAAAAACACTAGTTTGAGAACGCCTTCGGTCTAGAAACAGTTTAAATATTGTAAACACAGTTTGTGAAACCTCAAATCAATGATCATTTATGGTTTAAATAAAAAGCCAAGTCCAAAAAAAAAAAACACTAGCTAATGAGGACACTTTGTGTATGAAAAAATATGCAGATAATTTATTGTATTTAAAATAAGTCACTGACAGTCACTCGGGGTCTCTAGTTGTGATATATGGGCTTTTGTATTAAAGTGAGCCTAGTAAAGTTGTATCTAGTCGATACACGTCAGGGTCATCGTTAAATGATCAATTTTGCAAAACACAAACTTTCCAAGAGTTCTTGTCATTATGACTAGAGAATACTAACATTACAAAACCAGAATATATATTGTAAAATTTAAATATTTTAAGTAATTTTTTTTGAAATAACACAAGTAAAAAAAATGTGAAATAATGATTGATAATGCATTAATCTTGTAAAAATAAACCATTTTTACAAAATTATACACAAAAAACGTTAGTTTTAATCTAGAAACTAATTAATTCTTTTATCAGAGTTTAAGAAAATAGAAATAACAAATTGTGTGGTTTTAAAAAAGTTCAAGCTCAAAACGATAAAAAATTGTGCTTAGTATAAAAACAAACACTTTTTAAAGTATGTTTCACCGATGATATGTTACGACACTTTTAGTTGTACACCTAAAAAGAGCATAATTTTATTATTAAAAAATACAAAGTGAAAAAAAAACGAGCCGTATGGTCAATTAAAAATACTAATCCAAGTAAATTAAAAAATTGTATTTTTTATGGCGAATTAACTGTATGTAACTTGATAATTAAGTCTATTTATAAAGAATAAAACACATATTTTTACAGTATTAATTTATCATATTGAAGCAATCATAAATATGTAATTTGACAAAATCTATAAATATGTTCATGACATTTTTAAAACGTAATTCACTTAAGCAAAATAATTAATACTGAATAAGTGAATAATAATTTAAATAAAATTAACGTAAACTTATTATGTCATAAATTTAGTAGGTATAAATAATAAAATTAATTAAGAAGTCCTGCCACGAATAAAAATTAAAAATACACAAGTTTTTATTTCAAAATGTTTTACATTTTATTGTCATGTATTATTTTTTTTCTTAAATGTTCTCAACAATATGAATGTTAAAATAGTAAGACAAAAGTACATTTTTTAACTGAAATCATTAAGCAAAATGAATACAACTCATTTTTTTACATTTTATTATTTTTAATCACTTTTTAGGAGGAGGAGGAGTGGCCGAGTGGGTAAGGCGGCAGTGTGTTAGCGCTCACTGTCGCCGGTTCGACACTCGGTCACAGGCACTCCGTTTGCTGGGCGAGCAATCGTCCGGTAAAAAGGAACCGCCATCCCCCTCTCCGGCGACGGATTGACGACCCGTCCCGGAAGCGAATTCGTCAAGAAACCATCTTGATGGCAGCGTTGGGCCTTAAAGGCCCGTTAAGCTTGATGGTTTGGTTTTTTTAATCACTTTTTAAATAGGTATGTTTAGATATATGTATATTTGAATAATTTCAAATACTGAATAATAAAATATTTTTTTTTTTACTGATTCAATTGTTATTATTTTATTTGAAATCAGTTTTACAATAATAGTTTGTTTTACAATATAAATCATGCTATTAATAAAACAAATTTTATTGTTTCTATAAGAGCTATTACAAACTACATTTTTTTATATGACCGATAAAATATATTTATAATAATGTTAAAAGTGTGTAAAACAGATCCGTATTCACTTGAGCCAAAAAAATAATGATTTCCAAGTGAAAACCGTGATAAACATATAAGTAAATGAAAAATAAAATATTTAAATCATAAAATATTGAAATACCTTTTAGTGTCATGGTGTCAGTGTACGTTGTGTTGCCAATAGTCTATTATTCTAAGGGGCAGTCCATATACCCAAATACACCGACGATAAATATTATACAAAATCATATTAATTAAATTATAAACAAATTATCGTCATAACACTATTTTAGGATGTTATTTAACTTAAAAAACCGGCACCGAGGGTTTTGCGGCCACCAAGAGCCCCCTGAATCCTGTCAACAATAAAATAGCCGGCCGACTGCTGCAACGATTAAGTCGATTTTGAACAATGTTCCGGAAGAGGTCCCCTCTTTTTGAGTATATCAATCGAAAGCTTATTGGAATCTCTAAAAATGTGTCCCTATGAAAAAGTTGGCATCGAGGGTTTGGGGCCGCCACGAGCCCTGGAACCTAGGCACAATTTCACAGCAATAATCGTCCATATTATTTCTGATTCTCAGCTGGTTTCCCACTACGTTAGATCTAGAACACAAATCACATTTTCAAAAATTAGTATACGAGCTTATAGTTAATTTATCAAATTGACTTAACCCTGAGTTTAAACATATACAAATTAAACACGAGTGTAGGCAAATGTTTTATTACAGAAACCCAGAAGTTTTACCTCCGAATCACATAAATTGAAGCAGGTCTACACTTATTAAGGTATAAGTGTAGTATAAGAACTCATAGTTAATTTATCAAAATGAATAATCTACGCTTATTCTGTAATAGGGAACAACAATTAAAATTGTAGAAATTTTAATTAGTTACAGCTAGTAGAAAATAACCCATAATCTTAATGGCCATACCTAATCACTGTTTTACTCCACCTAAAAATATAGATGTATTTCAATTTTGCCATAACAATCTATTCCCTGCCAGAACCACGCAAGTCAAGTATGTTTAATCTCAACTTAATTAACCTAGAATGTTCACTCAGGGCCGGTGCTAAGAAATATACAAGGGGGGGGGGTGTCAATATGAAGATGCCGACTATAAAATTTTAATTGCCGACTAAAATATTTTATGACATTTTACATCATAAATCACAATTTTTTGCTAAAATTAGTGGGAATTAATAATTGTTGAAAATTATTTTTTTTTAACTTTAAATTATTATTTTATTAAGTATTAATTAATACAAACAAATTTAGATAGTAAAAAAACCATCAAAAGTTTAACTTTAATATGGCGTTTTTTTTAATGCGGACTATTTCCTTGTTATTTCTTCCAAATCAATTATATCGAGAATATCTCTGGTGGAGTTTAAAATCTTGAAGGTCATTTTAAAAGAATATGTTATTTGTATAATTTAATGGGGGTTATAATATTTACCGACTTTTTGTTCCGAATGTGCCGACTAGGTATACTTGAGTTTTCCGAGTAGGGGGGGGGGTGTCAAACCCCCCTTTAAGTCCGCCCTGTTAGTTCACTACCAATATAGCGTGTGCTATAGATCATTTGGAATATATAATATGTCATATCTAAACGATTTATGGCAAACGCTATACTAGTAGGATTTTTAAAGAAATCACACAACGAGCCATTTTTGTTATTTCAATTGCTTAAGCACGACTTGACTCTGAGACAGAATGTTCTCTACCAATACAGTGTTTGTGAAAAATTGTTCTGATTATCGTAAAATATCATATCTAAACTTTTTTCACAGACACGGTACAATAGGATTTGTTTAGTAGATTTTCTTCGCTGAAGATATGTTTTTTTGTAGACATCTACTGAAGACATCTTCTTCGATTGCTCACGCACAATAATTAGGTTCTAAGTAGAATGTTTTCTACCAATACACTGTGTGTGAAAAAGCTTTTGGAATTTCTTAATATATC